GTAATAGTAGTCATCTTGATGCATGAATTTGTCCACACATTTGCCCATTTTTATAAACGTCAACATGTCATACAATGTTAGAAACCACATAAGCACTTGAGGCAAGAGTTATGATTATCCCCCCATGAGGAATAAACATGCTTAAATCATCACACACTAGCTTCAGCTTGCATTGAGTTGTTAAGTAATCTTACATAGACTCGCATATGTGGTTTCTGACATACTGTTATCTATAAAAATGACACAAGCATGTTGCATAGCAAGGATATTAGTAACGGCCACCTTATGGCCTGAATTTTTGAGGATACAATCTCTGTTCTGTGGTCTCCCCAGATCTCCCCTCTGTCCTTTCTCTCTCATTTTTATGGAAGCTGAGCCACAGCCAGACTTAATTATACTGTGTCTCACAGCAACAGCTGAACTCTCTCTCTCACTCACAGTCTCTCTCTTTCTGTCCCCATTAAACACTTCAATAACCCTACGGTGCAAGTCTAGCAGAAAGATCATGTGACCTTGCCCTCATGTTAAACAACAGTGGTATGGTCAGAGCCCAAAAATAAGCAAGCTAATTCCACACCACTTGAGACCTGAATATTTAATGATGCGATAATGCTGAATTCCACTGTAAAAAAAAATACATACAAATACATTAATGGCTGCTAGTTGCATTACTTTCACAGTAATTTTCCGTACCATATTAAAAGTAAATTACAGTAAAATAACAACTGTATATGGTGACTCTATAGTCACCTGCACCACAGGATTACAGTGATGTAGCTGCATTCTGCTGTGCATTTACAGTAAAATAGCTGTAATTAAAATACAGTATTGTACTGTATTTTTCCATAATTGAAAAATTATGCATTTTGGTAGCCAGTAATTTACTGTAAATTTACATATGAAAATACCAGACATATAAATATGTTAATAAGAAAATCAATTAACATATTGATTCACCATGTTTGCACTGTATATGCACAGATGATCTCAAATACACATTTTTGAAATATTTTCACTTTGCATGTAGTTTGCACAAGCATGACCAAATCTCTGGCAATACCAAGACCAATAACATTTTTGTCAACACTTCAGTGTTCCAGCATAAAAAGCCTGCAGATTAAACTGTAAAAATATTTCAGATTTCAAAACCTGAACAGTCAGAATAAACACACTTAAAATGTCTTTATTAAGATGTTTATCCCTTTTTAACTCTCAATAGCTTTCATATCTCATAATACTGTGCGGTACAGCTAAACATTAATTTCACAGTAATTTGCCGTTTTATTACAGAAAATATGTTAAGATGATTTTACAATTAATGAATACAGTATTTTATTATGAACTCTCAGTGTTTCCTGCCTCAACAGTGCAACCCACACTAGTCACGGCCAAATCATGCAGGCCTACAGCAGCATATCAGCCCACACAGGTCCATCACCCGAAGCAGTTCTGTTCCACCAAAGAGGACGTTTAATGTGTAAATAAATGGTCATCTAATCTGACATTTCGTAATGCTAAAGCTTTATAAAAAACTGGAGTTTCAACTGAATCTTTGGCTTGATGGGGTTTAAAGCCAACAGTTTACAGTCAAACAAAATACGTCGTGTACTAAAGTAAACAGCATTTCAGTCATTGCACCAGAGTTTAGTTTTGTAGATAAGGGTGGTTTCTATTTTGGGACTCAGTGAGTTCCATTCTTTTGCTACTCAAACAGCTCACAAGTTAGAGAGTTCTAGCCCGTTCTAGTTCTTTTCCACAGCCTTCTTATTTGGTGTCTAAAGCATTCTTTTACTCTTATCGTCTTCTGATTATCAGAGAATATTTTTGCCTTTTGAGGTGCTGGAGATTTAATGAACTGCACTGTAATGAAACAGCTCAAGATCCATTTCATTATTTACCTGCTGCTTTTTGGAAATGAAAAAAAAACAGCAGTGTTTGTGGAATAAAAAAGTAATTTTTTGAAGATGATATTACAGTATTGCTTTGTAAGTGGATGACTAACTGTTTTTATGGAAATTTTATTTCTGGCCTTGTTAGATACTTGTATTTTCTTTGTTTTCTGTTGTTTTCTTATGCTGGCTGCATTGTGAAGCACTTTGAGCTGCATTTTGTTACATAAAATATGCTATTAAAAAAGGTAATTTATTATTATTATCAGAACAATATTATTATTGTAAGAACAAAACCTCATTTTTCACTTTTTGGTATAATTTTAAAACACAATCTGTCCTTTACATTATGTAAAACATGTTAAATGAACTAATAGATACAGTCCCAAATGGCTTGAAATTAATTTTTTTAACTTACCTTAGATTGAAAGTTAAAGATGTTTTTCCTTCTCCTGAAAAATTGCCATTTTGGAGAGCAACATTATAAAGCTTGGGGAAATACCACTCACCATACTGTCTGTACTGTCATTTGGTTTCAGTATGAACCTTCTTCTAGGTATAAATATTGCATTACAGAGCTAGACAGTGTGCTTTTATTAGAGAAGATCCTTTTGTAGTAGCTAGATGACCCACAGCAGTGGTTATTCATACTCATTGCCTCTTAATGGGAATAAACATGTCGTCTTGTTTGTTTTGTCAGACTCTGATAGTAAAGAGTTGAAAGGATGCTCAAAATAGAACGAACACATGCACATAATGAGAGGAATCAGGTGAAGGTTGTACTGCTCCACTTGTCACATATTTTTGTCATATTTTTGTCATATTTTTCCTGATATTGTGTGCACTTGTGTGGGTCCCTCTGGTGAGCACCAACGTTTAAACACATTACTGTCTCTTCTTCCGCAGCTCCTGACAGATCAGATACAGCTCCAAATATCAGCCCTGTACAAACACAGCAGCACAAAAACAACAGAAACAACTGAAATATGTTCTTCTCTGATCCAGCTCTCATACATGTAGGCTATTAATGTACAGCTGAGATGGGACATACTACATGACATATGTTGTGTGTTTATTTAAAAAAAAATAATTGTTTGACGTTTTTAAAGTTGCCTGTATTTTGATCTGATATGATGAATGCAAAACATATTTTTAAGCGCTATTGTAGCCTTGGTTTTGGTTTTGGTCTGTAAATCCTACTGGCATTTTTAATTCATTATCTGCACAGTAAAGTCAGTAGTGTTACATTATCACCAACTGCTTTTATGCGAGACCGTGATAATGTGCAGTGTACATCTGAGACCAGTTTAACACTCCAGGTGTTAATTTCACGCTGCTGACTTTACTGGGTGGAGGTGTTGTTTGTGTTTGAATATTCTAAGTGCTTCATAATGTCACATCAGTGGCAACTGAGGCTAATATGACAAAAGGATTTTCAGATGGAATTTCCCCTTGAAGGCAACAGTTGTGAATTGGCTATGTCAGTTTCTTCTGCAGTCAGCAGAACTGATATTGCAGCGCTGGCACCAAGGAGCACTGATGTCAGCCAGCATGGTCTGTCTTTGTCATCCTTAAATGCGGTTCCGGGACCCGCTCTGGACTTTTGACCACTGTAGGAGCAACATCTGATTATAAACATTTATAAAATGTAGAAATTGGGACTACATGTACAATACCTGCATTAGCATCAGGGAGAAATATAAGATTTATTACAAATGCAGTAAAATTAATAAAATGCAGACATTCCAGTGCTAAGCACTGCCTAAAAGATCTGCAGTAAGTACCTCGTCAAATATTGGTTTGAAATGTCCGTCAAATCTGAACATCTCTCTGATGATGACATTTTTAAGGTTTTGATGAGATGATTCTGATATTATCATTTCAGTTGTTTCTTGTATTTTATTTTTTGCATAGTTTTTCACATCATAAGGTCCACTTGTAATGTTTGTGTTGTTCTATGTAACAAAAAAAAAAACTACATTATATACATGACCATTGCATGACCATTATATACATGACCCCCTGCATTTAAATTAAAACAACTCCTCTTGGGTGGCCTATTATGATTAAATGGAATGGTATTTGTGAGCACTATTTTGGATTCATGGGCACTACATATCAACTTATTTTTGTATGCCACCAAATAGCATAATAATTCATACTAATGAGGATTATGACATGGTAACAGGAGCTTTTAGGGTGCAGAGTGTGCCTGCACTAATGTAACCAATCTTTGTAATGTTTAGCCATCACAGTTAGCAATCTAAAAGCTGAACATGGCACACTGTGTAGTGGATGTCACTTCACTTCATGCCTACACTTGCACAAAAATTTGCTCTCATAGTTTGTACTAGGTGGTACTGCTAGCATTAGCCTAGGGAGCAGGCTAACTCCTCAAAACACTAAAGGGCAGGATAGATTCTGATAAGGCTGCATGTGCAGTCAGCGTAGCAATTTTTCCCAAAAGTGTTTGATGAAGATAAGGTCAGGGCGCTGTGTAGACTAGTCAAAATCCTCCATGCCGAACTAGTTTTTTACACACCTCACTTTGTGCAACGGGTTGTTGTCATGCTTTAACTGGAAAAGGCCTTCCCCAAACCATTGTCACATAGTTGGAAGTGCCACTCTATGCTCTAGCATTAAGATTTCTCTTTACCTTCCCTTCACTGGAACTAAACTATGAAGAACAGCCTCAGATCATTATTCCTCCTCAACCAAACTGTACAGTTGGCACTGTACATTCAGACAGGTAGCGTTCACTTGGCAAACCAGGATAATTCGTCAGGCTGCCAGGTTTTGAAGTGTAATTCAGAACTCCACAAAACGCATTTCCATGCTCCAGAGATTAATGCCAGCGTGTTTTTCACCACTCCAGTCGATGTGTGGTGTTTTTTATATGATGATCTTTGGCTTGTATTATCGACATGTGTTAAAGGTTACCATTTTGGAGAAATGAAGGTTATTTCCAACAGCTCTGAACTCTTTAGTGTGGCCTATTCTACTCCTCAGTCTATAGAGACTGAATGGCTGTATGCTTTCCCATTATGTGATCCCTGTAAGAGAATCCTCCACCAACTGTTTTTTTCTCCCTCTCTTTTGGCTGTTTTGTAGGGGGGCATTCTCTGAGGTAGTGCTGGCTGAAGAGAAGAGTACCCAGCGGCTGGTGGCTGTCAAGTGCATCCCTAAGAAGGCACTGGAGGGAAAGGAGAACAGCATCGAAAACGAGATTGCTGTGCTGCACAGGTCAGACACAGCTGTATTCACACCAGGCACACGAGCAAATAGAAATGATGTAGAGGCTCTGTTTCATTGCCAGTAAGAATTAATTTAGCCTCCGCCAGAACATTCTCTTTTGGCAGTACCTATTTTTCATGGTGTACCACTTTGTAGCACATTAGTACAAACACAGGTGCGCTCGATGGTCTGCTCTGGGACTGAAATTGAATTGTGTCCTTTACTGTCAGTGAAAGTCCAGTGGTGGCTGTCTGTCTCTGTGGAATGATGTGGCTGTTGGTCAGATGTCCACATATTCATACTGAAAGTGTTTTGTGCTCTCTGCTTGAGACCTGTTAACATTCTTTGGCTCAGAAAGCTGTGGTGGCAGCTTTGGAAGAAGCTTATTGTCACTTTCAGATCAATACCTCATAACACAATAGGGTACAGTTCATAAGGTTGTATGACTCCCACATAAGCTTGTCATGACAAGTGACATAACCCTACATAAATGTTTATAAATGCTTATTCCAATAGGCATCTTCTGTTAAAGGCTATTTCAGCTAACTAACCTTGATCAAAACTGGCAAAGGTAACCTTTACAGGGAATGACGTTTATTGTAATAAGCATTTATAAACATTTATGTAGGGTTATGTCAGTTGTCATGATAAGCTTATGTGAGTGTCATGCAGCCTTATAAACTGTACCCTACAATAAAGTGTTACTATTATTTTTATGTTTTTACATCTATTGAAAACATCTGCTGACCTTTACGTTGCGTGACTTTTTATGACAAATGAGTGAATAAAAAAAAGTCCCAATTTTTTTTTATTCTGAAATGTTTGTAGATTGTGGTCTTGTTGAATATCACAGCAACTTTGACTTTACAAGAGAAAGTAGAGACAAAATTGTTTTTTTTTAAAATGTTTCCCTCAATTTAACAAAGCCCTTATAGGAAAGTCTGTCCACTCGATGGCCATCTTTGCAATGCCTCTGGGCAGTTGTTTTCACTCATACAAGACCAGGTTCCTGTCTGTTTGAATGGGGAGAGAAACCAAAACCACTGTCAACTTTTCAGAAAGCATATTTAAAATCACTGATAAAATCTGCAAAAAACAGCATAAATAGCACTCAATACTGCACATACGCACAACTCCACAACAAAGGGAGCTTTTCCCGCTTGCGACTTAACCAGCAAGCCAATTGGCTCTTTTTATAGAAGGGCGGGCTTTGCTTATAAACATAAGCCATGTTAAACATTAAGAGCTTTCCCATTCGTTTTCAATTCAGTGACTAATCTCCGTCTTTATAAAGTCTCTGAATTTAATGATCTTCATATTTGCTGATACATGTTCTAAAAACACGTGTATGCAGCTCTCATTCATGTACGCCCAGGTGCTCTATGAGCACTGCACACAAAAGTAGGTTGTGAGGGTGCAACTAGGATCTGTTCAGCCAAACATATTACTCATGTCATACATTTTAAACAACTGTGCTAAGCAGAATGCTGCGTCATGAAAACGGTTCACTTACAGGATGCAGTGCTCAAACAGCCAAACAACAGCAAAACAAAGTGCAACAAAGCAATAAAACACACTGGGACTAGTAATACATGGAACAGGTATAAGGCATGAAATATGGTGAGAAAGATTTTCTTTGCAGAAAAAATGTCCTATATTTGAAGAAACTACCAGTGCCTTTCCTTCAAAAATCATTATTTATTTCCAGTTTTCACAGTGAAGTGGTTTTTGCTCTGCAAAATGCATGCTTCTACCGTAAGATGGCACAAAATGTCCTCCCATAGGCTTCCTTGAAGCATAGAACAAGACAGTAGAGTTGCTCTTTGAAATTTCAGAATTTGAAATTCCAGTTGCGCTACTATTACCAGCTTATAGTAACGCCTAACAACGAACAAATGCACGTGAATTCAAAACTCACTTGTGATTTTTTTGTCCTGCTCTGCTCTTGTTTTTATTAGTGATGTCCGATTCATGAGCAAATAATTTTTTTGTAATGGTTTTGTGTAACGGTCAAACCGACAGGCTGTATAATTCTAATATAGTTTGAAGAGTATTCTTTTACAACCTCATGATATTTTAACACAAAACACCACATATTAGGAATGACCTCTGATAAATTTGGCTTTTAGTGGTCTGTAGCTTCCTGCTAGGTGTTCCATCGGCACTATGGACAAGGGACTCTCTGCTAGAGAGACGCTGAGCCGAGTGACTGAATACTCTGTGCCAAGTTCAGACTCGCTCATTAACAGCAACAGAATCAAGCATTAGCAGGAACATACACTCAGTACAGGGTTCACCTCTGATGAAATCTAGCCTGCAACATTAAACATGTACTATAAAAATATTTAGCTCACATGATAAATGATAGACGTTACTATATGATAGTAAATGTTACTAGTTCTCATTTTTGATACTGCATTATACCGACACATAGCCTACATCATATAGCGTAGCTTACAGAGCAGCACTGCTGAAGCATACTGACTGTTATGTGGTAATAATTCTATGAAGATTAACAAAATAATAGCATTATTAAAAGGTTAACTACATTTTTAAATACAATGTCGCTCTGAATATCCGAAAGTGATTTTATCCTGTTCATATTACTTTGTTCCTTGTACTGTTTCTGCTCTGTGCTGAACGTTGTAAACAGTAATGTTATACATAGAGATTTCTTTAGGTGCTTTTAAATGCTTTCCTAATGTAGAAAGACAACTTTAGCTGCTTTCATAAGCAAAATAAACAGGAATAATGTTATTGTTTTGAGCAGCGTTCGCTTGCATGTGAGATTTGCTGATTATTGAATGCAGGATCAACGTTACAACTGATTGGTAATCACTGATTAGGCTACATATAAAAACTGTTAACTGCTACAGATTAACTAAGCTACTTACAGAAACATTTAGTATTATTTTAATGAGTCTGTTGTTGCTTATCACTGTTTTGTGCTCCTGAAACAACAAACAAATTGGTAAATGATCTAGAAGGAACAAAGCATTTCATTGAACTCAGTTCATATCTTTGGAATGATCTGTAATCCCACCACTGCTTGCCTTCCTGTCACATGCATGCAGCTGTAGCTAGCATTGCCAGAATACTAGTTGTAGTTAATAGGTAAATGACCATTTTGTGCTAATCATGTCAATGTATACATTACTTATTCATAATTCAGACAGTATATCACTGTACATGATCATTCTGAACCTGATATTGGATTCCTATGAGAGACATGCATTTTCAAAGTTTCAAAGAAGTGTGTTTTTGAGGGAATTTCCTTCATGAAATTTCTGAAGTTAAAAGAAAGAAGGATTCTTTACCAGCAAGTGGGGTGGTAACCCAACAAGAAAAAGTAAAAAAACAAAAAAGCAGCCCTCTGAAACCTTCGGGAGCAGGCTATAAAGTCAGAGTCATATAAGCTTCAGAACTTCAAATATGCATTAGCATGACAATATCCACATCCAGATTTATTATCCACCACATCTTCCCATGTAGTTTGAGCCTGCTCATGAAATTACCAAATTATGAAATGGTCGTGCTGAGTTTAGATGGTCTTCTCGGGATTCTTACTGCAATCGCTTAATTTTCACCAAAATCCCCTGCCTTGCACTGAAGAATAGAAATCCCTCGATTGTGTTAACCAGCTGCAGATAAGAATCACAGTAAGTGTGTCCCAGTTGTGATTTATTCTGAGATGTTGCAGATGATGTATCTTTTTGCGGAGCAGTAAAAGGTTTTTGTTACACTTCATGTGCCCCCTCTTGCCGTCTGTTTCATGCGAGGCCACAGAAGGTTCAACTTTCAGCATTTCAAATTAAGCGTGCTCTTTGAGAAGAGAGAAGCTGCTGTAAAAGCCGTCTCGGAGGTAAACAATGTGGTATCGCCTTGTAGAAATGGTGGAAGTGTGCACCGGAAATGTCAGGAGTATTGGAGATAGTCCTATTTTTAGTGTCTCTGTTGCTAAGGCAACGGCACACACAGGGCTTGAGATGGTATTGAGGTTCTCCCCTCAGCAGTACAGTGAGGAGAGAGGATGAGATGGGGGGGGGTGAGAGAGAGAGAGAGAGATGGAAAGGGAGGCAGAGAAAGAGTAAGTGGGAAGTAAAAGAGTAAAAAAGAGTAAGAGATGGAAAGAAGTAGAGAGAGAGATTGAAAGAGAAATGGAAAGGGAGGCAGAGGAGAAAAAGATAGAAAGGGCAGAGAGGGAGAAAGATGAAAAAGAGTAAGATAGGGGAGAGAGAGGAAGAGAGGTTAAAAAGAGAGGGTGAGAAATAGAAGGGTAGAGAGAAAGAGAGATGAAAGGGTGAGGAAGAGAGAGATGAGAGGTAGGGGAAGAGAGTTAGGAGAGAGGTGGAAAGAGGATATAGAGAGAAAGTGGGGAGAAAAGAGAAGGAGTGAGAGATGGAAAGAGAGAAATGGAAAGAGGCAGAGAGAAAGTGGGGACAAAAAGAGTGAGAGATGGAAAGGTTAGAGAGAGAGGTGAAAAAGAGAGAGGGTGAGAAATAGAAAAGGAGGAGAAACAGGGACAGAAAGAGACGAAAGGCAAGGAAAAAGAGAACTGAAAGGGAGGGGAAGAGAGAGAGAAGAATTGGGGAGAGATGGAAAGGGAACAGACAGAGAAAGTGGGGAGAAAAAGTGGGAGAGGGTAAGAAGTAGAGAGAGCGAAAGAGAGACTGAAAGAGGCAGAGAGAAACGGAAAGGGGCAGAGAGAGAGAAAGGGGAAGGGGGAGAGAGGGAAATAAAGAGAGAGATGAAAGGGAGGGGAAAAGAGAGTGAGAGACTAAAGGGGGAGAGAGAAAGAAGCAGAGATTGAAAGAGAGAAAGAGAGAGAGATGGAAAGTGGGAGAAAAAGAGACAGAAATGGAAAGGGGGAGAGTGAGAGAAAAAAGCAGAGAGAAGGAAGGAGAGGGAGAGAAATTGAAAGAGAAAGGGAGAGACATAGAGAGTGAGATGCAAAGGGAGTGAAAGAGAGAGAGAGACTCGGGGGAAATAATGAAGTAGAGTAAAATTGCTAGAATGTGTTCCTCTGTTACTGTGAGAAATACTGTAATTAAGGAGAGAGAGAGAGCGAGAGAGAGAGAGAGAGAGAGAGAGAGAGATATTAGGGGAAGGAAGTAGAAAGAGAAAGTGACGGATTAGGGGCTGAGCCACATGCCAATAAAGACAACTGAAAGAGGCTGCAGTATTTGGAGAAGGAAGACGGGACAATGAGGAACAGAAGGAAATAAAGAGCTTACAGCAGACGTTTCCAGAGTGCCTAGAGCTGTATGTGAGACTCCTACTAGGTTCTATATAGTACCAAGAAAGGTTTTTGACTGGTTCTTAGAAAATAGTGGAACCCTTTTTGGTGCTTTAGAACCATTTTAAAAGGTTCTTTAATCTTCATCTAAACAGAATAACAATAACAACACTACACTTTTTAGGACATTTTTATGTTTAGAAAATATCCTGAGAAATTATTTTGACTACAAAAGCACATACTGGATTCTGACATTCCTAAACCAGTGCAGTGGAATTGCTGCTTTCAAGCTGGTGCATCATGATGCATTTACATTTACATTTACATTTACATTTACAGAATTTGACAGAAGCCCTTATTCAGAGCGACATGCAAATTCAGTCATGTTACAGAGATAGACAAATGTAGTGTCTTGTCTCATGTGTCCCCAGTGTAGGAGTTTTGCCCAAGGACTCTTATTGGTATAGCATAGGGATTTGAACTCACACATGGAGGGCAGTTACCACTACGCCATACCAACCATGTGATGCAGTTTTACACCCTTAATATTTATGTATAAAATAAATTCAGTCAAATGCATTAAATGCTTTTGAAGTAATTAAAGGCAATAAAGTATAAGGAGGGATGGGGAGAGATGATTACAAGAAGGAAAAGGTACAGAGACAATGGCCAAGCAGATAGAAGAAGCAGTATGAATGAATATAAAGATGAATAATACAGTGTCCATAGCAAGTAGAGATTCCCAGTAGGTAAAAGATTTAACTCTTAGAAATCTGTGCTACTACTGGTAATAACACAAGCGTGGTGTCATTTCATATGAACAACAATTTTTCATTCATAGCTCACGGACACGAGAAATTCTGTGGATAATGCAGAAGTTCAGTGCATACCACATTTGTGTTGTAAATAGCAGAGGAGATATTATGATTTGAATGCAATGAAAAGATACATACAGATTTGATCTGCATTTGATCTTTATATTTTTGTCATTTTTTGTCATTTCTTGACATTGAAACAAATGAACAAAGACATTTAAAGTGCAGAGTCATGATGTAAAGAGGATGTAAATGTATTTAATTATGTAATTTGGTAATTCAATTTAAATAACCACAGTATCTAATCCTCTGTGGGTTAAGGTCAGTAAAATCATCTGCCTGTTCACTGTCGTCTCTTACAGAATAAAGCATGAGAATATAGTTTCACTGGAGGACATTTTCGAGAGTCAGTCTCATCTGTACCTGGTCATGCAGCTGTGAGTCAAAACATATTTTAAATTCTTTCTGATTCACATAGCTCTGTTGTTTTTATACATTATGAATGACTCCCTGAGTGTGTGTCTTTAGGGTATCCGGTGGAGAGCTGTTCGATAGAATCGTGGAGAAGGGCTTCTATACGGAGAGAGATGCCAGTAAGCTCATTCATCAGATTTTAGATGCTGTGAAGTATCTGCATGACATGGGCATCGTGCACAGAGATCTGAAGGTAAGGCTTCCACTAGAGTACACTGTCAGAAAAAGGTATTAAACTCTCACTGGGGTGGTAACCTCAAGTGGATTTTTTCAGATCTGAATCAAGAGTGAAGCTTGATTTCCTCTCAAAGATGAAAGCTTTATGTGCTGTTTATCTGATGGGGACAGTTTTGGTGGTCTACCAGGTCTTGTATGTTTGTTAGGCGACTCATTTTCCATGTAGCTCATGGTCTCACTAAATATATTGTCAGAACTGACTAGCATGTGGATCCACGAGGCTACCCGATCAAGCAAAATCAAAGAAGAGGCAGACAGGATTGGTCGTTTCATTTGGCTGTTCGACTGCAGCCTTTAAGTAGCACTCCACCATATTCAGCTGTAATCTAGCAACTGTCACCAGTTTTTACCAAAACATTAATAGCTGTTGTTACAAGGTACCATGTTTGATACTATTAGAGATAGACACAAGTAATCAGCTTACTGATAATTTATTACTTAGCCACCTATTTGACTAGTAAAATTGTGCTCAAAAGCTAATAATAAACAAAAGCCTGATGAAACTCTGGGATAAAGGTTTATTTTGGGCAAGGAGGAAAAAGCAGGAATAAAGTGAATGCAGTTCAGCTTTTGGCCTCATGCCTATAAATGCAGAACACCAGTTCACAGCACTCCCTCTTGGATATTATTCACCAATTATTATTATTTAACCCCTTAACTTTCCCAGGCGTATTACATACCAAGGCTTATTTTTACAGCAACTACACTACATGTGCAGAAGTATCCAGACACCCCTTCTAATTAGTGAATACAGCTACTTTAAGGTGCACTCATTGCTGACACAGATGTCCAGTTGTGCGCGCAGCTTGTATAATCTCTATAGAAATGCACTGGTAATAGGATGGGGTGCTCATATGAGTATATAAGGTCATATAAGGTCACCATGCCCAATGCCAGGTGTTGTCTAAAGGGGTATAAAGCCTTGCAGCAACGGAACTGCATTCTGTGGAGTAGTGGAGCTCCATTAAGTTCTTTTGGGGTATTGAGTTGGAGTGGCATTTGTGATCCAAAACTAATCATCCAACATCAGTACCTGATATTACTAATGCTTTTGTGGCTGAATGCAATCAAATTCTAACAGCAATGTTCCAACATCTAGAGTAAAGCCTTCCCAGAAGAGTGGGGACTGTTACTGCAGAGGGGGGGGCATATAATATATATGAAAAGCAATGCAAGCTGAATGAGTTACCCATTCAAGGAGTGAGCAATGGCAGTCTGGACCTGCTGGTAGCTCTCAGGCATTTAAGGGGTTAAATATTGTCCTGCCTTATATAAATTATATTCTTTTTACTTATTTCTGTTTGCTTAAAATAAACCATTTCATCCCCTGCCTACTCCCTTTTGGTCACACTCCCACCCTGTACTGGGGTATTATTTGGGGTTTTTTTTTCTCCTGCTCCTGTGGGAATCTTCAGGCTCCCCTAGATTCCTGTGGGAATTCTGTACAGATGTCATCCTCTACTGCAGCAGAATTATTTAACCTAATGCACTGAAGCCAGTTAGAAAGGATTTAAATCTGTCTGTTCATTTCATTTTCACTGGGTTCAGCCGGAGAACCTGCTGTACTACAGTATGGACGAAGACTCCAACATCATGATCAGTGATTTTGGACTGTCAAAAATCGAAGACTCTGGGACTGTGATGTCAACAGCCTGTGGAACGCCTGGATATGTAGGTATGAATAAGAGCTATTTTTCATTCTCTCTCCTGTTCATCTCTCTCTCTTTCTCACTGTCGCTTTTTCTCATCTTTCTTTCCTCCCTCTCTCTTTTTCTGTTTCCCTTTCAAGAGTTTTATGAACTCCATTTAATCAAGTACTTCGTAGTGTCAGCTGTTAGTGCTTCAGAAGTGCTCTCTGTGCCCTGAGCTCTTTGATGTTGTCCTCATTCTCTTCAGAAGTGAAAATGATTGTAGACGAGAGACAGCAAGAGAGCATCTGAGCACTCAGCATCTCTCTCTTTCTCTCTCTCTCTCTCTCGCTCTCTTTCAGCCCCTGAAGTCCTGGCGCAGAAACCTTACAGCAAAGCAGTCGACTGCTGGTCCATAGGAGTCATTTCTTACATTTTGTGAGTGGCTGCATGCTTCCGTGTAGTACCCTATATGTCCACAAGTATCCAGACACCCCTTCATTTACTTCAAAGTATCCATAAGTCATATATTAAAACATAAAAATCTATCTATAATAAGTATGTAATAAGTATAATAATATGAATATAAAATGGAATAATGAGTTGTTAACTAGCTTTGCATATTATTGTTAGGCCCAAGAAACTGCAGGGAGATTCACTTGAAAGAGACCCTGAATATTCTGTTGTAACTCCCGTTAGGATGAAGCAATCTGTACCAAAAAAATATGCTGCATACCTTGATGTATGTGTAATCGATTGCATTACACGCAATGCTGGAAGTGATCTCTGTTTTCTGCCAGACACATGAAGGGGTACGGGGGTATGCACCCGGAAGTTGAAAACGGAGGTTAAACGCGACAGCTGTCCGGCGCCTACCTCATCTCTCCGATGCAGGGGCACCCCGGCTTGTTCAAAGCTCCATATACTGAGGAGCACATTGCACGTTGTTTTGTTCAGATTGCTTCGTCCTGTTCCCTCTTTCGAGTGAACCTCCCTGTACTACAAATGCTATAAGGCACCCCCTGAACCTCAACAATCATAATAAAAGCAAAGATCTATGAATGTGCATAATCATACCAACTGTAGACGCCCCCTTGCTGCCCTGTTTCTAAACCTCACTTCAAATTTCTGGTACCTTAGCCTTCTCACTAAGTTAACATTAACCCCTGGTGTTAACAAGGATATGAACCAAAAGTAACTTAAGCTAACAGCTCCACACAAACACACTGGTTTCCCCACTCAGATCTGTTTTTTTTTCTAAACTTGTGTCAGTGAGGCTTCAGTAAGCCAGAGTGAATGTCTGTGGTTGTGTGCAAAGCTGTTTAGGCCTTCTTGCTAACTCTTAATAAGAGAGCCAGCTGATTCTGGTTTGGCATCGGCACTGTGAGCTCATGGTCTCGTCAGTGTGTGGCACATCCGCTCATTAACATATATTAGTATATTGAAGAGTGATATGTTCAAGTTTATTTGTGATATATAAAACTAGGCTACTTCCTACTACCTCAAAAATAACTTTTTTTTGGATATACCTGTGTTGTCAATGAAAAATATGTGCTATAGTAACACATTTGATACAAATATCAGTCCATATAACCATAATAAGCCATCTAAGAGGAGTTAACTATTTACAAAACACATTTTTGAGTGCTGGGGCTTTAAGACGCACCCATTGTTGACACAGGCATTCAGTTACGTATACAGCTTGTATAATCGCCATAGAGAAGCATTGCTATAAGACTGAGATGCTCTGGATCATCCGCACATGATCCGAAGGTCTCCATGCCCAATTCCAAGTGTTGGTTAGAGAAGTATAAAGCCCCCCCAGCACTGCACTATGGCTGGAACGTCTACTAATACCTTTGGGATTCGTTTGTGATCCAGTTCTAATCATCCAGCGTCAGTACCTTGTGGCTATCAAATCCTCACAGCAATGGTCCAACAACTAGCAAAGCTTTCCCAGAAGATTAGAGGCTGTTATTCCTTATTAATACCCTTGATTTCAGAAGAAATGTTAGATGAGCAGGTGTCTACAGACTTTTGGACATATAGAATAAATTCATATATGTATATTAATTTTGCTTCGAGTTAAATGTAAATGTTTCGAGGTTAAATACACATTACTTGCCGTTTGGTACATCCATTGCCCATATCCCCAGTGGCAATTCATGCAAGCCTGATGTACTAACTTACATTCTACCATTACATATTCATGTGAATGGGCACTCAAGCAAAGAGCGCTTTAGCAAAATGGTTCCTCAAAATAGAGTTGCAGTCTAGGGACTCTGGTGCACAAAAATACTTACCATTTAGTGTCTTTTCCAGGCTATGTGGCTATCCTCCATTTTATGATGAAAATGATGCCAAGCTGTTTGAACAAATTCTGAAGGCGGAGTATGAGTTTGACTCTCCGTACTGGGACGACATATCAGACTCAGGTGATTCATCTTTCACAGTCTTCACTAAGTTCAAGCATTTTTAATGGTGCACATACTACAGAATGTATGTCAGTGTACATTGTAGAGCTGCAATGATTGACAAGCTGATCCGTTTACTTAATAATAGGGCTGTCAAAGTTAACATTAATTATTAAATAGAAAAATAGTGTCAGCTGTTAGTGCTTCAGAAGCGCTCTCTGTGAGCCCTTTGATGCTCTCCTCATTCTCTTCAGAAGTGAAAACGGTTGCAGAAGAGAAACTGCAAGAGAGCACAAATTTTTAATGAGACAGTTCTTTAATGATTTTAATGCATTTTCCTAGTTTGACCCTTGGTAGCATCCATAGTAGTGCAGACTGAAGCTCAGCTGCTCTCACATTATATGTTCACACTCAAACACAGCTTTTAAGTGACTTTTAAAGCGATACCTTCAGCACCTTCATTAGACTATGCTGGACATTGCTTGTTGGAGACCTATGGGTGAATTAACAAGCTACAAACTAAGAAAAGCAAAAATGTAAAGCTCTGGTTCCTCTGGAGAGCCTTCACTGTAACAAGAGTTCATGAGCTGCATGAAGAAGAGCAAGCTGGAAGCATTGTTTAAAGTTTTAATACCCCAACCTAATCACGTTTTTTTGATTGTCTAAATGAAATTAAGTAAACACATTGCCAAATTAGTGCACAATTTCTGTTTAATTGCTGAGCTTCACCTTATTAAAAAAGTTAATATATGATGTGTCATAACTTTTGCAGAGACCACATTTTATGTTTTAATTTTTCCCAAAATGTTTAATTTAGCAAATAAACAATACAAATTGTGCATTAAAATGTGCAGAAGTGTGTTCTCTGTAGAGGATGTGTTCAGTTAAAAAATCAACAAAACAATTTAATCAATGTATGTCATAATGTATATTATATATACACTCATTGGTTGGAACATGCGACCACTGTTGCTCTCACTGGACAGTAGTGATGAAGATTGGTGTTCACTCTATGTATGATTTTCATGTTCAGGTTCATGTGCACCCTGGATTACTGAATTACTGAAAGTATTATTGAATGTTTAAAAGTAATAAATACATTCTGATGAAGCTTATTTTGTCCACTCATGTAGCTCTAACAAAGTGCGTTGCTATTAAATGGAAAAAAATCTGTTTAAGGTAAAATTAGAAATGTGATTAATCATGATTAACTCTAGAAAATAATGTGATTAATCATGATGAAATATTTTATTCGTTTGGCAGCCCTCTTAGGCACAAATATATACTCTCTATATTGTTTATATGATACATGCAGCCATTTTGACAGATTGACATGAAACACAGGACACGTTGTAGATTAACATAGTAAACGTAAAGCTGAAATGGCTTCTGGTTCGATAAGTTGATTAATTGAATAATAGTTAGTCTATTATAGAAAATAAAGCTTGTAATTTCTAACGCTGTTAATTCCATGTTCTCATAGCTAAAGACTTCATATGCCACCTAATGGAGAAAGATCCCACGCTGAGATACACGTGTGAACAGGCCTTACAGCACCCATGGTAGGAGTTCATCTCTCTGTTTTACAAAGATAGTCTTTCAGCTTCACAGTGCTTCTGTCTGTTCTGTCTCTGTTCTCAGATCTGTGTTAAACAACCCTTTGAACTGACCCGTCTGTATCACCCCCCGCCCCCCTCTCTCTCTGGTCTGGTTTTGAAGGATTTCGGGAGATACTGCTCTTGATAAGAACATCCACGAGTCCGTCAGTGCTCAGATTAAGAAGAATTTTGCCAAAAGTAAATGGAAGGTCAGTGCATTCTCACAGTCTCTTTATCTGTCGCTCTCTAATGTACAACAGGAGTTGCACTGATACAGACAGTAGAGCTTATACTGGCCCTGAAGTGCTCTTTTAGAATCAGTGTGTGTAACTGTACTAAAGCCAAAACGCTGCAGTTGTGTACATTGCAGGTACCTTGTGAAATAATGTTTCATTAAAAGGTTAAAATTACCTTGCTTGAGCAGTGATTTCAGATGCAAAACACATCTATTTCCAGGACTTGTGTACAACTGTACAGTGATTAAAGTAGGAAACTTTTTATTTGTGTTTATCATACTTGGAAATTGCATCTGCTGTGCAAAATGGTATTAAAGCATGCTTCTTTACAGCATATCTCCTAAAATGTTGACCTTGACGATGCAAATTGCAAATTAGCTCATAGTTCATTTAAACAAGCGGAGGAATTCTGTTAAGTATGAATTCTAAAATTTCATATTTGTTGTATTAAGCAGAATAAGAAATTTTTATTCATCAAATTTTCATCAAATATGAGTTGGTTGGTTTTCATTTTTGTCATGCTTTTTTGTTGTTTGAAATCAAAACAAAGTGCAGACTCAGGTATGAATCGGTCTAGTGGGGCCAGTGCTCAGGGGCCTCTGACTGCTTAGGCTCGAGGGGGGCTCAAATACTTGAAACAGTCCACTTCAACTGTAAACTTTAGATGAACAAACAGCTCTTGAATATGTACACATGACTAAATGAAAAAAATAAATGAAGAAATGTCATCTGTTCTCAGGGCTCGGTTCTCAAGAATTTTACTGTTGCTATTCAAAGAGGATGGCCTGAAGAAAAAGACATCTTGATTCGAATCTTACACAAAAGATTTTTTTTTTTTTTTGCTTACTTGTTACTGCTAGAGTTCGGCAGCCTCCAAGGACTCTTGTGGCCAGGAGCCTCACTTTGTCACTGTCCAAAGAAAAACATGTATCTCCAAAATACTTTACAGGAGAAGCCAAAAAAATGTTTATAACTTTTAATGTAAGTTAATGTATTTGTATTTCAGCATTTCTATTGGTCCATTCATCATGAAGTTTCACACAATATAAAGGACAGCTGCTAAGTTGATGTAGAAAAATAAATAACAACAAATACGTTTTTTTTGGACAGCGACGACTTGTTGATAAAGTATATAAATGTAAGTGAATAAATAACATATTGCTGTTAAATAACCTTTAAATAACAAATGTTAATATAATTAATTATGTATTTATGTGAAGGCAGTGTTAGGAGCCTTGCCCAAGGACTCTTATTGGTATAGCATAGGGTGCTTGCCCAAGCAATGGAATCAAACCCCCCATATAGAAAAATGATTCTCTTAAGGTTTAAGGGTCAGTTGCCAAGACGTGCCGTCCTAGATTAACAAGCTTCAGCAGCATTACTTAGTCTACGACTAGACTTAATTTGTGTCTGGCGGTCTAATAACAGTTCTGGGGTGAACGTGTTTTGATACACTTCATTTTGTGCCTTTGTGTGTGCAGCAAGCCTTCAATGCCACAGCGGTGGTCAGGCACATGAGGAGGCTGCAGCTGGGCACCAGCCTGGAGGGCTCAAGCCAAATCACCTCCACCAGCCCCTGCCACAGACACCTGCTCCTGCCAGCCAAGGAGCAGCAGCAAGAAGAGGAGGAGGAACAAGAGGAGGAGAGCGGTGAGATAGAGGATCAGAAATATGATACCTTTACGTTAATAGATTCTGTTGCCCAGCATTAGATTCCAGCACAGAGATGGCACCACTTTTAGTGTTATATATTTACACTGATGAAAACTGTGATATCTTGTAAAATATAATGGGTTAAAGTGAAAGATATTTACTCAATCTTCCCCTTACCCCAGATGTAGTCAATTATCTATGACGTGTCCAGATGTTGTAAAGTAAGATAAAGTAAGATAGTAAAAAAGTAGGATAATCCACTTGCCTAAGAAAGGAGAAAGTCAAAGGAAAAAGTGGGAAAAACAGGAATTTCCAAAACTGGAGTTCAAAATAATGATTAAAAGATACAGAGAAAATGGGGCTCCTAACAACTGTGCAAGACCTGGTAGACCACCAAAACTGTCACCGTCAGATAAATGGCACTTAAAACTTTCATCTTTGAGAGAGAGGAGAAAATCAAGCTCCACTCTTGCTTCAGATCTGAAAACATCCACAGGTGTTTCTGTCCATCCTTCTACAACTCAGACACTATGAGTCTGAAAGGATGTGTAGCTGTCAAGAAGACATTACTGAGAAAAGCAAATAAACATAAATAAGGAAAATTTGCACATCATACAAAGAAGCTGCTGGTGCTTCAGAACATTGGACTGACCACCCCAGAGTCCAGACCTTAACATTATTGAAGGTGTTTGGATTACTTGTATCGTGAGAAGCAACCAACTTCTAAGCCTGAACTTAGAAAGTTTGAAGGTGGAAAAATGTATATATACACATATATATATATATATATATATATATATATATATATATATTTTTTTTTTTAATTGAAAGTAAGTCTCTTGAAAAGAATGGAAGCTGCAACAATGGCAAAGGATGGACATGCTAAATACAGAAAAAACATTATATTTAGTTGTTAAGACCGTAGAGTTTTGTATCAAATATTTTTTCTGTTTTCTCCCAACACGTTAAAAAGCATAACTTGTACATGAGGGGGGCTCTCTGACTTTTGCACAGTGTTGTACCTACATGTATCATATCTGCCTGTAGAAAAATCTGTTTAATTGCTTTCTGGACTGTGCAGCCATACTGGTAATAATACAGGGTCGTTCAAAAGGATTAATCTGATTTCAAAATGATTTATTTCACTTGTAAATCATTACAGAACAATGCAGTAAATTGTAAATGGTTTAAGTGAGCATAAAGTTTATAATGTAGTTTTACAAGTGCTCAGTATGAATCTTCTCCAGCTGCACTGACAGCATTAACGCAATAGTAAAATTCATCCCATACTTGATTGAGCATGTCGGGTGTCACTGGACTCACGGCTCTTTCAGTGCGATTTCAGAGATCATCCAGTGTTGTGGAAACAAAGACGAATGCTCTGAGCTGTTCATGTTGCAGTTATGATGGATTCACTCTTATTGAAGTTGAGAACGCAAAACGCTTTCTGCTCAGGGGTCGCCATCTCCTCACAGACTGAAGGGAGCCATCTTCCAGTGACAGTGAGAAACTCTATGACCCCCTCTTTCAGTTGGAATGTGATTGGTTCCTAGGCACCTCATGGTTGTAAAACAATGGCGCTTTGAATTCAGATGAATCTTTTTGAATCACGCTGTACAGTAGTGTCTGTTGCAATTACATGCCTAGCTCACTGTTGTATATATGTAAGTTGATGTGCAATTTATCTCTGGGTAGGTTCTCCTGGTGGAGACGGTCGGCGTGGAAGCGCTGATCGAGACAGTCTGAGAAGCTGTGCGTACTGCTGCAGACCCGCCAGCAGGATCTGAGAGACCTAGCAGTGTGCAGAACCCAGAGGAACCCAGCAGATCTCATCACACACATACTCCTACCACCACCAGTCTGGCTCTGAACACAGAGCTATTCCATCAGTGTCCAACAGAGGGAGCTAGTGCAAGCAGAAACGAGCGTGGAATGAAGATTAAAGAAGAGATGATCGCAGAGGAGTTTGAACACTCTGCATGATGGCCTGACATTTACCCCTCATTCTCTTATTACACCCACGTTCTGTTTTGTTATGCTTCATATCCCAACCAAAGAAAATCATATTTGTGTTCAACTGTGAGACTCTTTTAAGAGTTGTTAGAAGAATTAGACTCCATTTATGACCTCTAAGGAGAGTTTGGGTGCTTTGGTAACACAATGGTCACTTCTATGAATCAGACAGGTCATGGTTTGTTAGTTAAGCACTAAAAAGAGCATTTAAGGAACTCAAGGTAATCATACTCCCCCCTGATCTTTGTTAGGCTTGATTTTAAAGTTCCCTTGCCTTAATCCATGGTGTATTTACTCTAAGTAAGGTCTATGCAGTGTCTGTATCACTGACCCTGTGTCCTGCGTCAGACTGGTTCTGAAATATCAGATGGTATTGCACAGCATTGAGCTGAAGCCTCCGCATGTGTGATTGGGACTGTGGTTTCACGTCTATGGAAATCAATGGAGGGGGACAGAATGGCTGTCCTGACAAAGGCTCAAACTGAGATCCCTGCAGCCCGTCAGTCAACATCAGCACATGTGAACAGATATCAGAATTTAGCAGTTTGATGGCGAGAGGCTAAGTGTGAGACTGAAATCCACTTCTAACCCTAAAAAATATTAAATGTTGGTCCCTGAAGCAGCCTCTCCTGATCTGCACTATAAAAATAAAGGTGTCAAACAGGGCTCTTTGGGGTGATGCCATAGAAGAACGATGTTTGGTTCTCTAGGAAATAAGGGAATAATGTTTCAGAAAATTTATAATTTAAAGTGATACATTTTTTGATACACCAAAGTAAGGAGTAGCTTAAAATGTGCCTTACGTTAATATGTTAATGTTTCTACTTTCAGTTTAATAAAGCATTCAACAATATAAAAGTATATCATACTTTTATATCATGTAACAAAAGGTGTATTTCATAGAATCCAATCGGATGGTCTACCCACAAACTAATATTACATCAATATGCTGCAATACAATATTGTTACATTCCTTTCAAGGAACATTGCTATGGATGGTTCCTTAGAGCAGCTGTTCTCTAACCTGTCCTCAGGGAACCCCAGATTTGTGCTCTGTCCCTGTGTCGGGACTTAGGATTGAGCAACAGTGTGGACCGTCTGGGCATCCCTGAGGATCAGTTGGTGAACCACTACCTCAGGGAACCATTTTTGTAAATGAAATTTGCAAGTGTGAGGAACCTTGTGTAAATATCCTTTATGTAATATACAGTTTTTTTGTTTTTTTTTAACTAGAACTTCAAACCAAGAACGATTTCAGAGCTAGAGATGCACGATGACATTGGATTCATATCATTATGAGCAGATAATTGCTTAAAAACAACATCAGCATCAGACAGATGTTTGGATTTGACCAAACTGATATTTAATAATGTATTTACTCCAGAAGAGCAGAATGTTTAGGTGATGCTGGGTTTCTGCGCCAGAATGTCTGCATTTTATTCATTTTCCTGCATTTGTAACTCTATAGAAATAAATATCATATTTCTCTGTAATGCTAATGCAAGTAGATGTAGTCCCACTACCTACATTTTATAAATGTTTATGTATCGGAATTAGCAGTCACAGATATGAACATGAAAAATATTGAATATTGGCATAGTCCCGCAGTTTCCATATTGTTGCATCCCTGTTTGAGAACCTTATTTTTAAGAGTGTTTGTCAGCATTTCAAAGTCACCTTTTCTAGCTGCGTTGTTTTTGAATTCAGTAGAGACTATTTATTCAGTGCCATTCAGAACCATTCAGCAGTGTAGAATGGGCTACATGCATGGATGGTTAACGCCAGTGTCAGAAGTGAACTTTTATAACTGAACTGCTCCTAAAACGTCCAGTCTTAAGTGATTGAGAAGCGAGTGCTGGGTGTTAGTAGTGTGCGAAGGGCTTGTTTGGTCTTTGACATGTTCGGGCAGGGATCTCAGCTTTGGACCGTTGGCCGTAATCTGTATTGTGCTCCTCTGAGAAGACGTCTAATGTTTGCATGACCTCGTAAATGTTTACATAAGCGATGATAAACATATGAGAAATAGATATTATTATTAACACTATGCTAATATATGAAGACTGACTGAAACTTTTACTGTATATGATGTTGGAGACACAAGGTATTTTGGCACTAACGGGGGCAAAACGTTTGAATACTGCGTGAAATGCACTTGATAGATAACAGTGTCGTTTTTTTTCCTCAAAGTACATGGAATATTGTTTGTACAACAGATATTATTTAAAGCCCTTAAAACATTTTGTCTGTATCGGCTGACACTTAAAGATTAAGAATAATGTGGCGACATTAACAGACTTTTATTTTGTCATTTTGTTGGTTTGTTTTTAAAATATGGTCTTTCTAATTTCAGAGCGAATTTGACCATCCAAAAATAGAAGAAAACAGTCATCAGAATAGTATTAATTGTCCTCCTACTGCTACAACATGACTTGGTGCTCATAATGGGCAGCAAATGACTCAGTTAACAATCAGTGGAGCAGTGTGTGGCAGTCTATATTAAAATTGAGTGAGCAAATTTATAGATTTAAGCTTAGCATTGGCAAGCGCAGTATTATGATTAAGAATGCGACTTAATGGCTCTAATATCTGATTTGATTTCTTCCCATTTTGAGTGAATATTCAATTTCATTGTTTTAAGTGAGAACAGATGCACTTGTCAATTTCAAATGGAGAAGAGACACAACTATGTGCATTATATATATATAAAAAATGATGTATAGGAAGATTGTATATCTTTTTTTGTAAAAGCTGTTTTGAGCTACAAATGTATGGATGCAATGCATCATGGGTTATTGACGGAGTCACAAAGAGCCAATGATTTGTACCCTTGAGGATATTGTAGCAGGTTATGAAATAAACACTCTTGTCTATGCATTGTGTGTTCAGTAAGATTTATGTGTACAGTGCAAATAAAGTTCACATCAAAGTGCTATGCAAAGCCAGGCTATGGTTGGTAATTTCAGGTTACGTGTCAAAAAGGGGTGTGTATGTACACAAACACACAGGAATCGCGTAAGATCTCACGTTAAAATCCTTTCATTTATAAGACCTGCGAAACGTATTTACACAATTATGTTAATAAACTGTTAGAGTCTTCTGACAAAACATGATATGTGTGATTACAGACAGTCTGTGAACAGCTACAAAGAGTGGTTTGACCTGGCTCAGTGAAACAGGAGAAGTCTATGTCTATTACACAATACCAGAGAAACACTGTCACCCAATACACTGAGAAAACAAGTATGTTAGCCAATTCTCATTACTCATTACTAGTGCATGTGAAAATTGGATGGAAATTGGTCAAGAAAAGTGCAAAAACTCAGTGTGTCCCATCTGTACATTCAATAATTCTAGGCTCAAAAATCATATAAAGTGCTGCTGTATATTCGTCTCTATGTTTTCACCAGTTTTAAGGTGCAGTACAGAAAAGCTCAGAAGTTTAACAAAGAAGTCTGACAAAGCCTAACCAAAACCGTCCAACCAAACTGACAACTTCTGCCAAGAATCAACTTTGCTGTCTCCACCAGTCTCGTCCACTATCAGGTGATAAAACATACCAACAACATCTCCACCATCATTAAGAGTAGTGCCATGTTAACAGTAATACAGCGAGAAAAGGGCCTACAGCTCTTTCTCCACAGCGTTCGCCACTGCTGTCCTCTTCAGACTCTCCTTCACCCTGATGAATTCAGGTGCTCTCTTCAGCCTTTCTCTCTCCTCTTCCATCTCTCTCTCCAGCTAGAGAAGAAAACATAAAGGCTTAGGTTACAGTGAATCTCCTGATACGCTAACATTTTGTGTGCTTTCAGTGAACTGAGACTTGCCTAGAGTGATGGTGTCAATGCCTTATTTTAGTCTTACTGTATGTGTAAGTAAAAGTAGAAATGGATTTTTTGAGAACTCGCTGTCTGATTTTGAGGAGGTCTGAGTAATACCAACATCAGAACAACATCAAAAAGACAAGAAAACTTTGTAAAACAATAATAACAAAGTAAAAAAATACATGATAAATAAAAGAAATTTAAACTTTACTGAAAACTCTAAGAAGGCATTGATGCCATTTAAATGCAATACTAAATAAGTTTGATTTGAGATCATTTTTAAGGGTAATTTTTCACTGATTTTTCACAATTTCTGCAAAATTCAACAATCAAGATGTAAACAAAGTAATTTAGAGTGACTTGATGTGCAGTGGTTCACAGAGAATCTTGCCAGCTCAAAGTTTTATTACAATGGTGGTGATAGGAACCAGCAGTCACAATGTCAATAAAACACATATAACCATTTTATTTACTATCCAAAATTAAAAAATAGTGGTAATTCCAAAAAAAAGTTTCTTTAGGTGCTGTTCTGACTTACAACACTCTGCATGTACCCTGCCTCCATGAATGGATTTTTTAGTCCAAAACCTTCTTTTAAAAATGACATAAAACAATGTCTCAGGCATCAGGCAGTGCATTCATAACCATTAATGTAATAACTTACTGTAAGGTATTTTTCAGAGGCATTAAGGGCCCATATTGTAGGAAATCAAAAGTTCCTTGCTTATTTTAAAATAGGAGGTTGATGCTTCAAAGCATACTCACATGTCAAAAATGGACCTCATGGAGAATTAAATAAAATACAGGAAAAATACAGGATATGGGCATTTTAAACACTTCAGAGAGCTGAATCCTATCACCACCACTGTGAACAATTCTGACTCTGTACATTTCATAAGAACAGAGCATTTCAGACCCAACTATTTGTTCACTAAGAACTAAGAATTTGTTTATGCAGAAAAAATTGGTGGAATTCCCCTTTAAAAGGGCTAAAGGAGGTTTTCAGAGAGGCCAAACTGCAGAGTGAGCTCCTTTGTTTTTACCCTCTCTAGTCTCTGCTGTCTCCTCAGCAGCTCCTGCTCCAGAGGAGATCTCTGCTTCTTCCTCTCCTCCTCTTCCTCGAGTTCCTGTCTCAGAGCCTGAGCTCTGTTCCTCTGCTCCAGAACCCTCTGCAGCTCTGGCTTCTCCTCCACCACCGCTCCTCTAACAACAACAGTAATATCACACTCTCACAGATCCACCTCTTGCTTCAGTGCCCAAATTTAAACACGAGAATACAAAGAGATCAGTAGCATATCAGCAGAATTACAATAAACAGTATGATGGATAGTGTGAGTTCCAACAGTGGCCTCTAGAGGGAGGCTTTCATTTTAATAGACCATCTGAGGGGAGCTTTTTCCCACACTGTTCTCTAGCAGTTCCTTTAGCGCCATCTGTTGGTTAAGAAAGATAAAGTGTGACTGGGTGGCCCTTTTGAGGCAAGCTGAGGACTGGTCCTGATGAAAGCTTTAGACTGTAATTAGGTCAGGACACAAGGGTCAGACTAGACGAGATAAGTCTAGTGCAGCTCCCCAAAATGAATATTTTTCTCATCAATATATTCAGATAATGTATTTATATGGTAAAATATTGTTGAAGTATTTGCAAAGACTGAACTGCATATCTAACCAACTATCAGGTCAAATATACATTAATAAAGTATCAGTGTAGCATCTGTAACATCCAACATGTTACACTACAGAATCAGAGCCACTATTATGGAAGTTATTAAACAGTGTTTTGTCACTTTATTATTTAATATTGTGCATCTCTATGAATGTTTGCAGAAACTGATGCCAGTGTCTGGGTGACAGTGTGTATGTGTGGGAAGGGATAAGAGAAAAACTTTTGTGAGTTACTGCATAACTGAAAACAAACGTCTTGTACAGTACTGTGCAAAAGTCAGATTTTCAGCCATCATAGTACAAGTTCTTCATTTGTCAACATCAGGAAAGCAGAAAACATTTCAATTTTTCAAAGAAATCTGCAGGGATATTTTTCCACACCTCCAAAGTTCAATCTTATAAGTTGGTTGCATCTGATGGGGAGTGTTTTGGTGGTCTACCAGTTCTTGCATGGTTTCTTAGGAGTCCCATTTATCTCTGTATCTTTTAACCCCTTAAAATCTCAAGCTTTTTACATATTAAGGACTTTGGGCCCCCCAGTGGCCCTGGCCATTTAAGGGGTTAATGATTTTTTAACGTCAGTTTTGAAACTCCTGTTTTTTCACTTTTTTCCTTTGACTTTCTCCTTTCTTGTGAAAGTGTATTATCTTATATCTAATCTGCTCAGAAATATATCTTCTGAAAAATGAATAACTTGTACTTAATGGCCTTTTTGACAGGAAATTAAATAAATGAATGATGGCACAGTGCTGGACATTCAAACATACTTTACCAAGAAAGCCTATGATTCTGATTCAGATTATCAAAACATCGTTATATAATGCAGTGACTTTTTGCTTAATACAAAGTGACAGAAAAAACAGTTTATAGAAAATGAACTACAGCAAGTTCTATTTATGAGTATATGTGTAAATACCCATCCTGTAAAACATTGTGCTGTGTGTACTCAGGCTGTGTTGTGCACCTTTTGTGAGTGATGAGCAGTTCTCTGTGGAGCTCTCGGTGGCTTCTGGAGGCCTTCACGGGATTCGGTAATTTTTTGGGCCTAATGAGCTCTTCATAATAGCCCTCGTCTACGTGCTCCACTAGCAGCTGGTTCTGGTCCAGATCTTCATCCCTGTCCCATCTCTGATCAGAGCCTAGCACAGAGCCCAGATCACAGCTTGAGTCTGAATTACAAAACCACAGAGAGAAAGAGAGGGAAATAAATGGGAAAGCTGCAGTATAATGGATGAGTTCAATAAAATGTTAGCAAATAAAAACATTTTATTTTGACATTGTTCCAATAATAAGAACTTATTTCTATACATTTTTAGTTTTTTGCATACTTTTATATAGAGGAAGTGTCTTATTCCATTGGCAGATTATTTTACTTGTTTTGAGAAATAATGTAGATAATTTTGCTTACATAAAGAAATACAGCTTAAAACAAGCACAATTATCCACTAATGGAATAAGAGACTTTCTTTAAATATAATTACTTAAAACAAGTAAAAATATCTATAAATAAGTTAAATAATCATCTGTTCTTAAACAATCTTATAATCAGAAGTATAAGATATATTCACTACATTTAAGACATTTAAACAAACTTAATCCAGTTCAGGATTTAGGTTAAATCATGAAAATCAACAAATTGTGCTGCACAGTTAGGTACTCCTGTTCTAGGTTGGTTCATCACTCATGAGTACATCATCACTGTCAAATCAAAACCTCATAACTTTTTTGCCATGTGTGAACAAATCACAACGAATGGGCGGATAAAAATGGTCCAAAATTACTGGGAATAATATCTTACATTAAAGTTAAGAATGTTTTTCCTTCATTTTTTCATTTTTCAGTTTTATTCAAACAGCAACAATATATTCTAAAATATTCTAATAAACAAATATCAAACACAAAGCATTACCTGGTCCAATAAGTGGTTGAGCACATCCAGAATGCAGATGCTGATCACTAAGATCTGCCTGTGGAAGCCACGACACAGACAATGTAAAAACAGAATAGCAAGATCTGGAAACATTCACACTTAGAAATTTAAGATTTTTGACATATATATCATTGCTGTGCAAAGAAAAACATGTATCTCCCAAATTAACTTTACAGGAGAGGGAAAAAACGTTCTTTACTTTCAGTGTAAGTCTATGGAAAGAGATTTTTTTCTAAGCACTTTTAGTGCATTTTCATTGGTCTGTTCATCATGAAATTTTCACATGATGTAAAGAATGACTGCCAAGCTCAAATGATGTAGAGAAGTGAAGATCGCAAAAAATGGAGACACATGTTTTTCTTTGGACAGCGACGATATGTGAATTACCACAACTTAACTGTAAGCCATAACTAATTTATTGTCATGGAAATTCATCAAAAGTTTAAGCTGCCAAGATATAGCTGCAAACATAAGCTGTGAAACACTAAGCATTTATCCAGTGTTATTTCTGCCAGATTATTTTCTTCTCACAAAAAGAATCTCTTACAGTACATTAAAGTGCTTTTCATTAATGCAGGCCTTATTTTGTATTCTCATCTTCAGCTCTTCCAGACTTTCATAAATAATGTCCAAGGCTGTTGATGAAGAGGACAACAGCCCTGTGCGCCACACTGGCACAAGAGAGTTATTGTGTGTGTGTGTGTGTGTACACCATGCTGGGTTAATCATATTGGCCTAAAATGCTTGTGGAACCAGCTGGCGTCCAGCCACCTCATTACTGACCCAGCCAAAGAGTCTTGCCCATTTTCTTTTGAAAAATTGTTTGCTTTCTGAAATGACATTGCTGCAAGTTGCAAACAGTCTTTAGACTAAGCTGTTTGAAAGCAAAGTAAGCCAGAGGTGACGGGAGAATTCCACAAGTAGGCCAACTGTGAGATAAAGCAACATACTGTGATTTTTTTTTAAATAAAGAGAAAAACTGCAAAGAATGTTCTGTGCAGAAATAATACCAATCTTGTGCAATGGCAGAGATTTTTCATATATGGTCGAACTCAAACACAGAGCAGCCTAGTTTCTACGGCAACATCACTGACTCCACTGTACTTTCACTTCAAGTAAAGATTTGATTGTTATTGATGAAAACTGTCCTGGCACTGGAGTTCTAAACTTGTTATAGCACTTCTAAAGTCTGCACTAAGATTAAAACTGTTTCTATGTTTTGTTTTGTTTTTTTCATTTTATTATTATTATTTTTTAACGTTTTCTCAAAACTTAAAGCCTCAGAATAAATGAGCAAATTCCTTACTTTTTTTCCATGGGTCACCCCCATGTTGCCCATGTCATTCTCCTCTTGGTGGTCACTCCTCTCTACTGTTCAGGCGTCCTCTTCTGCAGGCACAGTGACGAGGAGAGGAGACAGAACAGTGGGCACAACAAACCACTCAACTCAGTGCACAACGCACCCCCCAAAAAACACAGCCCTGGAGCTCAAACTGAATCACAGACTGCATCATTACTCTGCCTTTAAGCCAATGAGAGAGAAGGGGGGAGAGAGAGAGAGAGAGAGAGAGAGAGAGAGAGAGAGAGAGAGAGAGAGAGAGAGAGAGAGAGGGAGCGATAGAGAGAGAGGGAGAAACAAATAGGAAAGGGAGATAGACAGAGGGCATAAGAGAGAGACAGAGAAAGAAAAAGAAAAATGAAAGAGAGCACATTAAGACAGATATAAGGAATATAAGGACAGACACAAGCAAGGGGGGACTGAGAGCGAGAGGAAAAGAAAGAAAGGAAAGAAATAAAGAGGAGTGAGAGCAAAAAGAGAGTATGAGTGTGATAACAAGAGAAACAAGAGTGTGAGAATAAGAAAGAGTGTGAGATGAAGAGAGAAAGTGAAAGACAAAGAGAAAGAGTGATAGAAAAAGAGAGGGAGTGGAAAGACAGACAAGGAGAAAGACAGGGAGCAGGAGAGGGAGAGAAAGAGCATGAGGGTGTGAGAGAAGGAGACAAAGGGAGAGAGAGAGGAGAGAGAAACAGAGGGTGAAAGAATGAAAAAGGAAAGAGAGATACGAGAGATAGAGGGAATGAGAGAAAGAGAGAATGAGAAAAAGTGTGAGAGAGCAAAAGAGAAAGAAAGTGTGGGATAACGAAAGAGAGAGAATGTGTGACAAAGAGAGAGTGGTAAGACAGGCACAGAGACATGGAGAGAGAGAGAGAGAGAGAGAGAGAGAGAGAGAGAGAGAGAGAGAGACAGGGAGGCAGAGAGAGAAAGTGGGGAGTAAAACAGTAAAAGAGAGAGAGTAAAAAATAGAAATATGAGGACAAAGAAATGTAAAGGGGCTAGAGAAAGAGAGAGAGAGAGGAGAAAAAGACAGAAAGGGGAGTGAGAGGAAGAAAGGTTAAAAAGCGTGAGATATAGAAAAGGGAGAGAGACAGAGAGAGAGAAAAACAGACGGGGAGAGAAAGAAAAAAGCAGATAGACAGGGAGAGGACAAAGAAAAGAGAGAAAGTGACAGAGAGAGAAAAAGAGAATGAGAGAGAGAAAGAGACAGAGGGAGTGAAAAAGACAGCACGAGAGAGAAAGAGAAAGAGAAAAATAAAGTATGAGGGCGAGAACAAGAAAAACAAGAGTGAGAGAATAAGAGAAAGAGTGTGAAATGAAGAGACTGTTCTGAGCTTCTGTGGGTCAGTCATGTAAGTATAACTGTGATAATACCATCATTCCTTCATAATAAAAGAACACAGAGAACATATGTTGTGTGTTTTTTAACAAAAGTTTATTTGTGAAACCTCGTAAACATTTCATATGACCTACTGTGACCCACGCAGCACAAGACAGACCGTGGGCAGTATGTGGCTATCAGACGCGGGCATCCATATGTGAACACTTTGCAACATTTCCAAACTTCAAAGCTTTTAAGTCCCACGTTTGAAATGTTCCATGTTTTTAACGATCCCGGTTGGCTGCTGCAGAACACACTCATTTACTGTCACTCAGATCTTTCTGGGAAAGCAGCCACCCACCTCTTCCATCTCTGGCCAGTCTCCATACACATTGCTCTTCTCATCATTAGCAGTGAGCTGCACATTTAAAGAAAGAGTTCAGACTTACCAAGGCAACTTTAAAACAGGAAGCAGAGTCACTTCCAATTGGTGAAGTGTCCATAAAATCCAAATATACAGTATATTAACTGTGTGTGATGTATTAATCTAAAACTTATAACTGCTCAGTATTGTCAATAACGAGTTTTGTCAGCATATTCTGAAGATGGATCCTTCATTGATAGTGACTTTTTAAGGGGCTGGTGTGGCAAAAATTTGTATTTATACAGTGTTTCCTTCTAAACTGCTCTTGATCAGCCCAACCATGTTTGATGCCTAAAGCCTCCGTCTTTACTTTCACACTAGAGCTACAAGGTTAATGAAGCTAACAAGTAAATGGAAGGTTATAGCCTGCCAATTAGCACTCTACAAACTGCCTGCCTAAATCATCACACACTGGCCTCAAACCATGATGAGTTGTTAAGTAATACTGTTATCTTTATTAAAATACAGCACACAGCTAAACAGAAGTGTATCAGTGATGTTACCAGTCATCGTATGCCTACATTACTTGTTAGGTACAGTACACCAAACATGTCTACATTTGGAGTAAGGTGGAATTGTGTACATTTGATTTTTTTGTTTGCCAAACTACAGTTTTAACAGCATGCACACTGTAAACCTCATCCTCATTCCTGCTGCAGCCACGTTTGCATTACTCAAGGTGGCTGCCACTATATTGGTATATGAGCCTGGCATCACTGTACAGTACTGCACAGAAGTCAGAGACCACTCTTTACATATTTAATTTACAGTCAAAACAAACATTAAGTAGTTTATATATCAGCATCAGGAAAACATGCAGAAAACATACACACTCACCAAGGACTTTATTAGGAACAGCTCATTGTATCTACACTCATTGTCCATTATACTTCTTGCAATTCCAGACTATGTCTGAGATACTGTAATTAAATATAATTACTGCATTTCACACTGAAATACTTTACCTAATATAATTATATGTCTGGTCTACCAAATACTGTATTCTATTTCTGTTGGTCTGGTTGCTATCCCTACCTCAGTGACTTCTAAGCTCATATATCTGCTCATATATAGGCAATCTGCTAACATGTCGTAGTATGTTACATCCTACTTTGCACAACTTTGCATATTCTCAGTATTGTGTACTGTCTGTGACCTGTTTTGTGTTTATTGCAAGTCTTTCGTCTCTTTTGCACTGTATTGTCTGTGCTGTATATATTGTATTATTTTGCACTTTCTGTTCCTGTGTTGCACCATGTTTGTCCTGGTGGAATGTTGTATATAGCTGAAATGACAATAAAGCCTCTTGAACTTGAACTTATATCAGCTTCACATACCATAGAGGTGTACTTTGTAGTTCTACAATTACAGACTGTAGTCCATCTGTTTCTCTGCATACTTTGTTAGCCCCCTTTCAGCCTGTTCTTCAAAGGTCAGGACACCTACAGAGCAGAGTGGAGGCCCAGCAGTGCTGCTGGAGTTTTTAAACACTTCAGTGTCACTGAGAAAAGTGCCCACAGTGTCCTCTGGGCAGCGTCCTGTGACCATTGATAAAGGACTAGAATGATGACTAACGCAAACTGTGCTGCAACAGATAAGCATCTTTGACATCTACAAGGTGGACTGGCAAGGTAGTTGTGTCTAATAGAGTGGACAGTGAGTGGACAGAGTGTTTAAAAACTCCAGCAACACTGCTGTGTCTGATCCACTTGTACCAGAACAACGTAATAATCCCAAGTTATCCCAAATACATTCAATCATTCATTTGTTTGATCTGCAAATGTTCTTCTTTTTTGTCTATTTCCTTTTCTCAGTAACAGCTTCTTGACAGCTACACATTCTTTCAGACCCATAGTGTTGATATGACTTCTCACAGTGGAAGGATAGACGGATCTGAAGCAAGATCTGAAGCAAGAAGGGAGCTTGATTTTCCCCTCTCTCTCAAAAATATAAGTATTGTTTATCTGATGAGGACAGTTTTGATGGTCTGCCAGCTCTTGCACTGTTGTCACATTTTCTCTGTATCTTTTGATATTTTCATATTTTCTTTTGACTTTCCTCTTATGCAAGTATCAAATCATCTCAGAAATCTCTCGAGGATAATCAATAACTTGTACTTAATGGCCGTTTTGACGTAGAAAGTGAAAGTAAATAAATGAAGGGTGGTCTCTGTCTCTTGCACAGTACTGTGTACAGAACCGTGTAAGAGTATATTACCTTTTGAGTTAAATATTAGATCAGTGCAAGTTCAAACCTTCTCAAATTGACTCTTCTTAAGTATTCCAACAGACCCTGCAAACACCCAGGTGTCCCTTTTCTTCACCGAGCGGATCATGGTGCTCCCCAACCTGGCGAAAATCTCTCTGATCTCATCCGTCAACCTGCAGCACACAAGAGATTAGCTCAGTTATACTCCTAGTGAAAAGAAATCAACATGCTTCCTCATCCTGATGAGGGCTGTTTAAAAAGTGTGAGTTTCTGTTTACTCACACCACTGCAGGGTCATCATATGAGGCCACTAAAACAATACTTCCTGTTTGTATCAACTTCAGAAACTCAAGCAATCCTGCAATATTAGAGAAAAACACTAATGGAGACACAGCAGAACAGGGGAGCTGAATACAGAGACTATAGAGACACTATTACACATTAACTTTAGGTTTGTTTTCAATATTTGTTTACATAAAACTCACAAGCATACATAATAAACTCACCCCCAGAAAAGACATTGAAGTACCTGCGCTCCAATATTTCACCAGTTCTACCTGAATAACAATTGAGGAAGGAAATCACATTAGGTAGCCTCAGTACACTAATTCAGACTTATGTACACAGTGCTAAAAGGCAATTACATTTGCATATACACTGCCATTCTGCCATTCAAAAGACTGGAATCACCATTTTCAATAATATAAAAGCAATTTTGTTGCAGGTACGATGTTACAATGTTAGAAATAAAGGTTCTGCGCAGGTACATTTTTCTTTCATCAAGGTACAAACAAGGTAAAAGTACCCTCAAAGGTACAACCTTAAATTGTACCTTAAATAGGTTTTTCCAGGGGAAAGGAAATATTTGTATCTTTTTATAACCTAATGTTTTAAAACAGAACAATAAAATAAAAGCCTGGAGACGAGACAGGAGGGGTGTGTGGAGTCAATACAACTTTGTGTCAATACACAAAGAAAATACAATTTCAATGGATTGTGGTACAATTATGTTCCCTGACTAAAGGTACTCAGATGTTCCCTTTGAGTGGAACATCTCAGTACCCTGCCCCAGTGACAGTTCAGTACCTTTATTTCTGAGAGTGTAGGACTCCACAAGATCTTAGATTTTAACTAATCTGTAGGAAACTGTACAAATCTAAGAACTTTTAGATGTGTGTAGATGATTCTTTATAACTGAAAAAGTTGTAAACAGTAGTCACCAACCCTCCTCTTGGAGGTCTACCTGCTACTTCAAACCCAAAAACACTTCCTTTCCTGCAGAAAGGGAGATCTCCACTGCTGTAAAACATTGAAAATGAAGCTATAATAATGTCCAGAATGCCATATTTAAAAAGTGGTGATGAAACCTTAGGCAGATAACTTCTCAAGAAATGTCTGTAAATAGATGATTAGAATGTGCAGTATGTATCATTTATAATAATACAGCAATTGGCCGTAAATAGTAAACTGTTACAGGGATCAAACTTGGTGAAAAGAGCTATAAACAGCAAGCAACATAAGCTTAAGCCAAAACCACTCCCATTGTATTCAATGAAGTTGTTTACATCAGATCTGAGCGGCAGACTTTTGACGGATGCCCAGTTTCTGTTTTTGACATTGAGTTGACATTCCACCCTAAAAGTGAACTCCACCATTTTTGTTTTTAATTTCTGCATAATTAAATGGTTAACATGTCAACAAAGTCAGAGTGTTTTGGTGTGAAATGTTTTTTCTAGAGTCTGAATTGTTCAAAGTGGTGGTGCCAGACGTCCACCTCTGAAAGCTCCTTTCCAGAAAGTTATTACATAAAATGGTTATGAATTCTGATGTCTGAGACATTGTTTCGCAGTAGTTTTGTTATAAAGTTTTGATCTGAAATGTATTTTAAAATTGATGGTATAAACTCGGCCAAGCGCTGATATCTACAGTACAGCACTCCCTCTTGTGTAAATAAAACAGCAATTATTAATCAGAGAAGTGATTCCAATTTTTTGAACACTAGCATATTTTCATACTTGCTGGCACAACAAAACACACAATGTTCTGTCAAAGGCTTTTAAAAAAAACACTCACCCTTCACCACCACAATGTTCAGACCCCATCCAATGTTATTAATTAATCCTCCCATTATACTGGAATCAAGAACAGATGAGACCATACATCACTAGCAACCAATGCATAATTGTGTTACGTTATGATTGAGTAATGCACCATGATTCTACTACATACATTGTGTTGTTTAAGCAGATCTTTGGCCCCACCATGTTGGCTAGACCACTGCGGATAAAAAAGGGGTAGTGGTCTGCAGGGCAGATTTTATGAGGACAGCAACCTAAGTGAGACTCAAACAGAGCTGCAAATAATGCCAAAAGTTCATCAGGATGGGATAATATTGTATTTGTTTGCACAGTGTTTGTCAGTCCTGGTCCTAGAGCACCGCTGCACTGAAAAAAGATGCCCTGATGCATTGAATTGACCTGATTCTAAGGTACACATAATTTATACACAAATAAAATACATCATCACAGCGTCTTTTGTGTTAATGTAATATATTACACCAGGGCTTTGTGATTTGTGTTTAATTAAAAACAGCATAGAAACACATTTTACCTTAGGAACGTCATTGTTTTTGTAAATACACTCTTTCCAAATTTGCTGGCTGCAACATGTTCCAGAAAAGTCTGGACGGAAGCATGTTTACCACTGTGCTACTTTATCTTTCCTTTTAACAACACATTTGAGGACTGAAGCCACTTATTGGTCCAATCATGAAAGTGGATTTTTGCCAGTCATCTGTTATGCATAACTTCAGCTTTGCAACTTTATGGGTTCTTCATTGTTGTATTTTACGCACGTTTTCAGTGGGAGACAAGTCTGGACTACATGAAGGCCAGTCTAGCACCTGCACTCTCATTACACAGACATGCTGCTGTAACATGCAGAATGAGGCTTGGTGTTGTAAAGCTGAAATAAACATGGAAGTTCTTGAAAAAGATGTTGTCTAGAAGGCAGCATATGTTGCTCCAAAAAGTGTTCAGTGCCTTCACAGATGTGCCAGTTATCCACACATATCCTCATAACATGACAGACCCTGGCTTTTGAACTTTACACTGTTAACAATCTGGACGGCCCTTTTCTTTTCTGACCCAGAGAACACAGCGTCCATCATGTCCATAAACAGAAAGGTTGACTTGTCAGACTACATTACACTTTTCCACTGTGCATCATTGCATGATTGCATGATCCTAGTCCTAGTATGAAATGGTCCTTATCTCAACTTTTTTGGAACATGTCACAGCCATTTATTTCAGAACAAGTGTATATTTACAAAAACAATGAAGTTGACAACATAAAACATCACATATCTTGTCTTTGTACTGCTTTTGTTCAACTACTGATCAAAGTAGATTTATAAATAATTGATTTCTGTTTTTTGATTTGCATTTTACTCACTGTCACAACTTTTTTGGAATTGTGTTGGTACTTTAATACTTGCAAAGAACAAAAAAGACAAACTGTTGCAGACCACAAAAACCTGTTAATTATCATTTTTATACAGCAATAAATTGTCAGCTAAATTTTCCTGATTGTGACAGTGCATTACTTTCAGTGTTCTCTTTGTTATGAACACCCTTGTTCAGCCAATCAAAGCTGAGTTTCCTGAAAGCATTTTAGTACAGAGATGATTCTTAAATGGTAGAGCGAGAATCACAGTGAACACTCTCTCTACCAGTTAAGACAATCTCACCACTATGAAGTTCTTCTATGGTGTCACTCCAAAGAACGTTTTTCACTTTTTATATTTTTTTCATCTGTAGTGCTCCAGGACAAGGACTGAGAACCACTGTTTTAGCACATTTATACTCACACACACACAAAAGTAAACAGCTGAGGCTAGTTCCCAGAATGCACTTTCTCTAGACTAAGATTAATGAAACCTAAACAGTGAATCACATTGAACCGTGCAATTTACTCCACAACCTGTCTTTATCTCAGTCCAAGAAACAACCCACTAATGGCTTCCTGAAGAAGATCAAGCTCACCTGGAAGAGCGCAGTCTGATCTCGGAATTTCTTTTTTGTGCACCTCATCTAAACAAAGAAACGAGTTTTAGAGGAATGCAAATCTAGACAAAGCTCAGCAATACAAGCAAACTGTGGAGTAAATGCTCTATGTGACATACGAACATTTTCTATCCTCCTGAAAAAACTTCTTGTTGACAAAGAAGCCCCATATTAAGAGGAGGGTGATGACAACTATGAGAGAAGAGAACCCTGGAAATACAACAGAAAAACTAACTTTTACAAGCATGAATTACCTTCTCTTATTCAGTTCTGATTTACAGGGACAATGCACATTAATACACATTTTCAGCTGTAGTCCCTGGGCAGAAAAATTACATGTAAAAAAGTGTTTTTTTTTTAAATAACATAACCTTTTTAGGTTAAGTTTAAAATAAGTACTTAAACAGAATATGGTCACATTACATTCTATAACTAAATGTACTAAAGACATACCCTACCCCACTACCTAATAAAGGTACTGTGCAGGTACATTTTTCATTCATCAACATACAAACAATGGAATTGTTCCCCTTACAGGCACAACAGTGGTTTTAAGATCCTTAAAGAAGTTTTTCCCCAGGACAAAAGTACATATTTGTACCTTTTCATATCCAGAAGTTTTAAGAGAACAATAAAATTAGAAGTCTGGAGACGAGGCGGGGTGTGTGGAGTCAATGCAACTTAGAAAATATCATTTCAATGGATTATGGTACAGTTATGTTCCCTGACTAAAGGTACTGAGTACTCTTGAGGGTACCACTGCAGTGAAAAGAGGGGCAGTTCCCTTCAGTAACAGTAACATTTTAGTAACTTTTTTTTCTAAGAGTGTCTGTCTCTTTTTCCAGAGTGTACTCTGAAAGGTACTGTCTTTTTCTGAGACTGTACAGAAAGGGTAAAAGCACTGAGCAAGAAACATACGATTACATAAAGCAAAAACAATGCGTACAACATTACAGAACCGAAAGCTTGTTTGCACAACACAAAAAGATGAGATTTCTTACCTCGCACTCTCATCCTGCATAGATTCTGTAATCTGAGTGCTGCTGTTTAAATGATCATGTTTGTGAAACAAAAGAAATGAGCTATCTTTAAATCTCTCAGTCTTAAAGATCAACAGAGCAAACCTGTTTTCCACTGTAAAGCTGTCGAGAAAAACCCCATCCAGGATCTACCTCGAGATTTACACACCCTGAACTCAAACACATTCATCAGCACAATCTGTGTTGCTACTCCTTTACAGGGTGTATTAATGTGTTTTTGTTCCACAATGGGACACACAGTAGGACTGTATAGCAAAGAAGAGGTCACAAACTAGCTCTTTATGACTAAACATGAAGCTTTTTGATGGACTATAGTTTATAGCTACTAGATAAAGAACTCTTTTTTTACAGAAGAAGAAGGAGATTTAAAGCACATAATTGGTTTTAAAAGTTTTTAATATTGTGTAGTGAATTTTCAGCAGTCATCATTAAGAATTCCAGACATCATTAAAAATTCCAGAATTCCAAATTCAACATGCCTGATAAACAGGCATGAACGCAAATAGTATGATACAGCATAATCAACAAGATACAACTCAAGAGAGTAAAATTTGTTCACATTCTCAAGCATCATAATAAAACTTTACAATATTAAAAAGGAGACAAAGAACCTTTTTAAGGCATGTTTCAAGTGTCCTGGAAGAAAACAAAAAGTCCTAAACAGATCCAGACCGGATTTAATGATATTAACGTCAACTATGTCACCTCTGTTTATAGGAATACAAGGAGAGGAATACTGACAAGTATTAAGACAAAACACAGATGACAGTAGGTACAGTACTGTGCAAACATCAGAGACCTTAAAAAGGCTATCAAGTACAAGTTATTCACTTTTCAGGAGAGATTTCTGAGAAGATTACATTAAACATAATGAATCGAAGAAACAGGAGTTTCCAAAACTGGAGTACACAAAATTATTCAGAAGATACAGAGAAAATGAGACTCCTAACAACCATGCAAGACCTGGTAGACCACCAAAACTGTCCCTATCAGATAAACAGTACTTAAAGCTTTCATCTTTGAGAGAGAGGAAAAAAAAAATCAAGCTCCACTCTTAATCCAAATCTGAAAAAAATGTGTTTCTGTTTATCCTTCCACTGTGAGAAGACAACTCAACATTATGTGTCTGGAAGGATGTGTAGCTGTCAAGAAGCCGTTACTGAGAAAAGGAAACAGAAGACAAAAAAGAAGAACATTTGCAAATCAAACAAGGAAGCTGCTGGTGTCCTTCAAACAATGGACTGACTGTTTGGAATTACTGGGATTGTGAGCAGCAGAAAATGCAGCCAACTTCCAAGACAAAAAATGAAAAATAAGGAAAAATATCCCTGCAGATTTCTTTAAAAAACTGATAGCGAGTCTTTGAAAAGAACGGAAGCTGTAATAAAATCCTGATATTCCTGATACTAAAAAGAATAACTTGTACTTAATGGCCGTTTTGACTGGAAGTGTAAAAAAGGACAGGTGGTCTCTGACTTTTGCATAGTACTATAAGCAACGCCTGCTCAAGTTTAAAGAAACTGAAATAAATGAAGTCTTTAACTGTAGGCAGCTGGTGTGCAAAGCTTCAGGGGAAGTTGCCTGATTACACAACTCCACACAAAGCTTAGTTCTTTGTTTAGAGGAAAAACAAAGAATGGGAAGAAACCCTGAGATCAGGAAGTAGTAGTTACAGCCACACACCACACACACAATAAATACTCAGAAACATCTTTTAAAAAGCTTTGGTATATGTTTTTGGAAACCGTAGGCCATATAAATACCTCTTGGAGTGTGAAAAAAGCACATCATTATTGTGCTGTAGGAGATAAAATTAGGCCTATATCACCTCAGATTTTAAAGGCACTTTTGTTTTTCAGCTACGAATAAATTATCACCAACAATTTTTCAAAAACTCTGTGTTGAAGATAAAAAGAGTGGTTTGATGTGAAATTGTAGATTCACTGTAGAGAAACTTTCTGACCATTATCTATTATCCAAAATGACCAGTTAACCTACACATCTATGTAATGCTGATGGTAAAATAGTGATAGATCCAAAAAAATATGCTTTCTTTGGATATTATTTTGCCCTACAATATTCCGCATATATATCTCCATCCTGAATGTAAAGTTGTATAAAATATATTTTAGACCAAAACTTCTAAACAATTTTTCGGATGCTGTGCAACATATTCGTAACCATTTTCTGTAACAGCTTTCTGTGACGCATCTTTCAGAGGTTTCAGGTGTCTGATAACTATCACCACCACTATGAACAATTATGACTCAATAAGTTTCTCTAGAACAGAGCATTTAACATCAAACCATTCAGAATGACTTTGTTCACATTTTAAAGATTTAATTATGCATAAATTTTGCAAAAATGGAGGTATTCCCCTGGGCTACGATAGCCACCCTGACGTAATGTGACATTAAAAACTAGGTGCAGAAGGTAGGCAGAGCTGCAAAAGGATAAACCGTTATGAAGGGGAACCTCGCGAACCATGGAAAATCCTGTGTTACACTTGGATTCACTCCAATAGCTCCTGATGGGAAAAACAAAAGTAAATAAAGTAATAAATAAAACACATATTTTGCCCACATTACAGAGCAAGAACTGTGCGTCGGACACTTTATTCTTTTCTGTTTTTGAATCATTCTCTGTTCTACTTCAGGTCATGAACAAAAAAAGACAAAAAGCATAAAATTCTGACCTCATCAGATTCGTCTTCTTCTCTGGAAGTGGCACTGTGCTCCTCCATCTGCCTCAGTACTGAGTACCTATATGTGGCCTCACTGCAAACAGTTTTACAGTAAATGTTTTATCCGTAAGACTATATACAGAACGCTATATATACACACAGAAATATACTAAACATCTAGATGTATAAGTAAGAAAAATCAGTTTCAGTATGAATATTATGTAATATGAATAAACATGCATGTATTCAGGCATAAATATAGTACTGAAATTAAACGGGAATTCCACCATTTTTTTTCAAAATTTCTGCATAATTAATTAAAAATGTAAACAAAAGTCATTTATAGTGTGTTGATATAAAATGCTCCATTCTAAGAAAAATCTGTAATAGGAACCAAGTGTCTGAAGAGTTTAATGTCTCTAAAAGCTCCCTCACTGAAAGTTATTACATGAAATTGTTTTGAATACGCTGCCTAATGTCTGAGACAATATTTTACAACAGTTCTGACCTAAAGTGAACTGTTTTCAAATATAATTATGGCAGAGAGTTACATGCAGGGTGTTGAAAGGCAAAACAGTCACTACTTTATCATTATTTGTGAGCTCAGATCACGCCTTCAGCATGTGGTGGTAATATGAGGGAAAACTGAGTGAGGGAGGGGGGGGAACTCTGAGAACATGGGCTGGAGTTCTGGGCAGCTTCTGCCTGTAGCTAGAAGGCCAGAGACCCCTTTATAACTGTAGTAGGACTGATGTCAGACGAGATGGCGTGATGGTGGGATTCCGAATCCTTCCTCACTGGAATGGAAGGTGAGGATGTGAATTTATAGGGCGTTAGATTGGAAGAAGGAGGGGTTTCAGGCATGTTCCTCCCCCAAAACTACAGTTATAACACAACGTCATTTAACACATGTATATAAAGACAGAAGATGCGTACAGGTTCACTGGCCATTTTGGATAGTAAGCAAAATGGCCATAGTTGCATTGTAGACACTGCGACCCCTGGTACCTATCACCACCGCTGTTAAGAAAGCTGAGTCAGCAATTTTCTCTACATTGAACTAGTTCACTTCAGTGCACCCTGAATTAATTTCTTTACATCTCAACAATTTATTATTCGGAAATTTTGAAAATCGCGGTGGAATTCGCCTTACTTTACTACTGTACTGCAAGAAGAGGACTACAACCAAACAGACAACTACAAAATTATATAGGAATAAAACATACATAAGAATGGACATGCGCAGTAACATGTAGTGCAACTTGTCTTAACCCTGACTGTAACGTGACAACCGTCCATAAATTGGCAAGTGAAAAACAGGTCACACGCGACAAGCTGAACATTAACAGAGCACCTACAGTGGTCTAAACTATTCTTCGGCCTTACAGTGTCCGCATGCAGCAGAAGCTAAATGAGCTAATCTGAAGCTGAGCTGAAACTGTCACTCACCTCTGAGGGAAACAGTATTTCCGAATGATAAAAGCAGCAGCCACTATAGCAGCTATCGCAACGATAACCACGGAGGCCACCACCCCGGGGTGCAGTCTCACCTAAACGGCAGAGGTCCTCTTTGTTAGTGGGACATGTCTAAAAGTCTAACAGTTCAGGTGAGTCTGAATACAGACACGTCCGTCAGTTTAGCCCTGCAAAACACCCCTCACTCACTGACCTACCTGTGGAGGTGCAGCCGTGGGGTCTGAAACACTCCGAAAACTTCGCGAATGTTTCAGTTCTTCAGCTTCAAGCTGTGCTGAAGGAAAAGCGGTGATTGGTGGACCAAACATAATATAAATAGCCACAGAAAAGAGTTTATTTATGTAGTCTAACTTTGTCCTCTGTGTAGTCTTCATTGTTTACTTCCTGGTAAAGTTGCGTCAAAAGCAGTCCTTCCTCTGATTGGGCAGGACTGAACTTCCCGAATAAAGAAGACAGCGAAGAACACAGTCGTGTACAGAAGTTTGGGCGCCCCTGGCCAAATTACATGTTTTGTTGATTTTTTTTCCCCCTATGTTAAACTCAGCAAATAAACTTAAGTTTGGCACTAAAGTCTGCAGAAAACGCAGAATTTAAGTTAATTTCCTGTAGAAGATGTGTTAACTTATTTTCACTTTGAAAATCAACGAAACATCATTTCACCTGGGCTGTTCAGACCTTTACCTACGACTGTATACGGAGCCTACACTCCTAGGCCACAGGTGGACTGTAGACCATCCGTCATCATCATAGTCATCCTCTAGCCCTTCATTGCTTTTGGCTAGTTATTTTTGGGTGGTGGATCTATGGCTACCACATCTACTATATGATTTGCAATATTTGTAGCGGGCCAAGGGCTAAAAACACTATAAAATATAAAAATATGTATTTACTAAAATTTTCAAAAAATTGGGTTTTCTTTAAATCTGTTAAGGCCCTTGCCCAAGGGCACGACCAGGAATACCCTCCTGGGATTTGAACAGATGACCTTCCAGTTTCTGGCTCACCTCACCTACTACTGGGCTACCAGACATTAAGCATCATTATGTGTGCCTTAAATCTGGCTGGCTGCAGCATCTAAGTATAAAACAATCATTTTCTCATCTTATCCAAAGTTCATTGTGACATTAGTGATCATCAAAAGCAGGCTGATGCCCTCTAATTGGCAACTTCATCAGATCAAAGAAGCAAACTAGCTCAGTTTAGACATTTTGTGAAGAATGAACAGGACCTCAGCAAATTTGCTGCAAAATTTTAAATTATCAATTGAAAATTGGTGTGTGTAATAGAAGTTTGTGGGGACGGGGCACCAACGTCAGTGACCAGTGACATCAATTGGTCCTGGTAGAGCACCCTGAACCTAGCCATGATGCCTCTGTTTCTGATACATTCATATCAGCATCACACACACTATCATGTCACTAACATGTCAGCACATGTTCAGAATGGACCGTTCAAATAATATCTAGTCAACAGCAGTCATGTGGTCAGAAACTGACCAATGGTGAATGGGGTATGGCAACAGATGAGCCCTAGTCTGTAATCGTACACCCTTATATCAGATATACAAGGCAGCTTGTTTCTAGTAAAGTGGACAGTGAGTGTATATGTGTAGGTAATTAATTTATGTGACAGCCAACAGTTAATTGTTATAACTATATATTAAAATAAAGCCCAAGAGCACTGGGCACAATATTGTTTATTTTATATTAACTTGACAATATATCAGTGCACCATATAATAGTTCATTTTATCATTTTATATCTAAATACCTACAAACAATGAAAATGGAAATGTACATTTATACACACCCAGCAAATTCT